TGCCTGGGCTCGGGCGAGCGCCTAGGCGGCGCCTGTTTGAAGCGCGCCGCCTGGGACATTAGCGAGGCGCTCGGGCCTCGCCTCGCCTCGCCCGAGCGCCTAGGCGAGCGCCCGAGCGCCTTTTGCAATCACTGATCAAATCTATTATAGACAATTATTTGGGAATGGAAGGATGACAAAGATGGCCCACTTGGAGGCTGATAAATTAAATCTATGTTTTTGGTGAAAATAAGATATAGTATCGAATGAGGCAACATCTTTTTCCAGCCTGATATGGGATAGTTCTATAAAATAACTCAAGAAAGAAGTTCTATGTTCACCTTACATACTGCAGAATAAATGCTAACGTAGTAGGAACTTTGCTTTATCCAAAAATAAGTAAGCTAGGTTAAGATATCATCAAGTGCTGATCTTTAAGAAAATTGTTCATGCATAGAAGTTATGGTGATGAGAAGTTAATTAATTGATAGATAGTAATAATCCTTCCGTTTCACTTTCTTCTTACATGATATGATGAATGCAAAATTCTTCTGGTCTCGGTGCTTTTCTTTCCAAGAAGGCAATTGCGCTCATGTTGGTTTATCTGCTAACAACAAGACATCAGTGAAGTTGTGAATCTATCAGGCCCGACACGATGTATAACTGATGGTGGATTATTACACTTCTAGTTGCATATCTGCAAAATGTTCAAGAAAAATGAATGTTGTAGCTGCAGTGAGTGGCTCAATTATCCCTGTGAAGGTTTTGGTTAATTAAACTTATTAACTTATTACTGTCATTAGTCATCTTAAGGTTATGGAAGTTTGTCAGACCTTTCTTTTGGTCCTTGTTCGATGACTTTATGATGGGTATCACTAATCATGGAATTAATCCTCTACCTCTATTACTTGTACTCCCTATCATTGTGCTTTGCGACTTTTCCTCTAACACTTAGTGACTGAGAAAGAACCAAATTGGCTGACATGCTATCTGGGTAATTTCTAGTTATTGCTATTTTTTAAGTCCTATTGGAAATAGAGAATTGGAATTTTATCTATTCATAACCAATAAATGTGTTGTATTATACCCAATAAATACTCACGTAGCACATGAGAAAATTGTTGCTGAAGAATCTAACATCGGCGTCCCTTGCTCCTAAAATAGAGTTCAATCAAGCATTAACATTTTAGGAACTCTATTATTGGTGGTTTATGTAAACTAGTTTTGCTGTCATCAAGAAGCATTTATGCTGTCGCTTTATTAATTAAGCTATCAATTTTTTTATTAAGCTATCAATTTTTAATAATTGCATCACTTACAGTAGTTTGTGCTTTTTCTCACTTTTGATGTTTTATTTGGCAGGTTTATGATGTCACCAAATTCTTGGACGATCACCCTGGAGGGGATGAGGTGTTGGTGTCATCAACTGGTAAATCGATTTTGAGTTGTCCGGATCGCCATGCTTCATCACTAATGTATTTGTAAGATGTTTCTTCTTTGACATGTTTTCCTTTTTAGGGAAAGACGCAACTGATGACTTTGAAGATGTTGGGCATAGCACCGCTGCAAGGGCAATGTTGGATGAGTACTATGTTGGGGAGATTGATGACACAACAATTCTTAAGGATGTCAAATACACTGCTCCCAAGCAACCTCACTACAACCAGGACAAGACATCTGAGTTCATCATCAGGCTTCTCCAGTTTTTGGTTCCCTTGGCAATCTTGGGGTTGGCTGTTGCCATCAAAATCTACACAAAATCAGCTTAAAAATTTTGTTACCATAACATTTATAATTAATCAGTCAGAACGCCGTTTACTTTGTTATGATACTGTGGTTTGGCTATGGTCAACTGTTTGCTTGTGGCTCATTCAGGAAGTCATTTATTTTGGTGTTATATCAAAGTACCTATTACAGTGAAATGCCTGAGAAACTTTCTCCTGTACTTTCCTTGTTAACACCTTTGCTTCTATTTATTTCCTATTGTTTCAGTTTTCAGAAATTGTCCATCAATCTGCATATTCTCTAATAAGGATATCTAAAGGTTTTTTTTCCTTTTATTGATTACTGAATGAAAAATTGATGACTGAGCAGTGAATGATATGGTGGTCAACACAAATCTATTTGTTTTTGTGACATTATCCTGATCTCAACCAGGTAAAACCTAAGCTTTAGCAAACTATACATGAGACTTGTTCTTCTTCCACTAGATAGCTGAGTGCTGCAAATTCCATTTCCCCCTCCCCTCCTCCGCGCACCACCCGCCCCCCCCCCCCCCCCCTTTTTTTTTTTACCTAATTTTGTGTTTGTTTAGTTTTTTTTGTTGCTTTTTTTAAAAAATAAAAATTAAGTTATATTTCTTTAACATTTTGATCTTTAGATATATAAAATTAATATTAAAATTTTAATTTCTAGTTATGAAAGTGAAGCATCTAGTTTCATTTACTATAATGTTATCGATTTTATTGACGGAAGCACAAAAATAATAAATAAAAAAATAATTTTAATATTCTAATTATATTTTCGATGGTAGTAAATGGTGATATCGTTAAGGGTCACTGATGGTTATCGTGAACAAATAGAGAGAGCGATGACAAGCAGGAAGAGGACAACATAGATATTGATGTTCTACGTCAGTGTCAACAACAATGTAAGAAAGGGCAACATCGATATTGATGCAGATGCTGATCAATTTTTTTTTACTCTACATATGTGTTGACACTGACATAGTTGCTAAGCGATGTAGATGTAGACGCAGAGTGTTGATATTTGTATTATCCTCTTTTTCTTCTTTTTTTGTTTCATCTTTTTGTTCTTGTTCTTTTCGCTTATCCACAATAGCTACCCACGACCCTTAAGAGCACCGTTATCCGTCACTATCAAAAACATAATTAGAATATTAAAATTATTTTTTTACCTATTATTTTTATGTTTTCATCGATAAAACAGGTGATGTTATGATAAACAAAACTAGATATTTTATTTTTATTATTATAAAAATTTTAATATAAAATTTTTAAGTTAAAAAAGATATATGTTAAATTAATTAGAAGGATATATGCTAAATTAATTAGAATTACAAGGCGTTATATAAAATTTTTTTTACTAATGAGTGATCCAATCGAAGAATACATATTGAAAAACCATAAATGTGAGGGCTTTATACGCGAAAAAACCCCGATAAATCCAGCAGAAGCCCCAAAGAAGAGGGTTTAACAGGGGGACCGTGGTCGGTGGTCGCTGCCTCCTCTTTCGGTGCGGCAATGGAAGACGCTGTGAGGTTGCGGGTGGAGTTCGACGACCATCGCGTCCTCACCAAGACGCAGAGATTGGAGGGCCTCTGCCGGTGCTGGCTCCTCCTCCCCCCCGAGCTCTCCACCGTCTCCGACGTCGCCACCCACCTCGTCCGCGCCTTCGCCCTCCACCTCTCCTGCCCCCATGGCGTCCTTCTCTCCGTATGCGTTCCGCTCCCCTCTCGTGTCCAGTTTTAGCCATCATCAGGAGTCCAACCGGTTTCCATTTGGATTTTGTACTTTACTTCGATCACTCTCGACAATGTTTTTCTTTTGGTTATTCTTGGTCCTTCTTTTAGGTATTTCATCGGACGAAACATGTTTTGTAAGATGTAGACAAAGAAGTCAGTCATATTGGTGATTGTTGTTGGTTGCAACATGTGTTCCACCCTTACGGGTGATCACAATGTGGTGCTATTCTTTATTTTTTTTAGATTTTCTTGGATTTGGCATATATATAAATTACATTTATCTACATTTTTTGGATTTTTTATTGCAGATGGATGAATTTGTTCTACCGCCGTTTGAATCAAGTAGCATTTTCAGGGACAAGGATATTGTCAGGTAGATAATTTAGCATATTGTTGCTTTGTAGTGATGTATTGCTTTCCGTTTAATCACTTAGTGTTACATTACAATCATAGAAGTTGTAGGTTGTAAAGTAGTTGTACAAAATCTGAATGCATAGGTAGTCAGCTGCGATGAAATACACGTCTGTCACTTTGTGCGCTTTGGGCTGTGTCCTGCACGGTCTTGTCTGTGTTCATATCTTACAAGTTTTGTGGTTATAAGAATCTTCTGTTGTTTTTCATGATGTAAACGTTCCTGTCTCATGAAATATCAGTTCTGTAATGCCACATTGGACTTTTCTATACCAGGGTGAAAAAGAAAGTTGCTAAAACGAAGCAGCTTCTTGAGATATGTGGTGATGCTTATCACATTCAAGATTCCAAGATAGTGGAGAAGCAACCTATAACATCTGGCAATGAACTTCTCAACATTAAAGATTTTCACGAAGATTTAGAGTTGTGCAAAAGCAAAAAGGGAGAGGATGCATGTGAAGTTGAAGGGAACACAACAAAGAGACAAATTCTCTCAAGTGAAGAAACAATTTTGAAAAGGAAAAGGAAGCAGTCAGATAAGCCTCAAAACTCAAAGTATTAATTTGTGCCTCCTTATTTTATCTTTTGCAAGGATCTTCACCTGCTTAGAATTTATTTTGGATGTGCATTTCATTTAGGTGCGTGATTAGGTTAACATAGTTTACAAAGTTTGTTTGTAACATTATCGTTAAAATTCTCCTGTAATTGTGCTGAACCTTGGTTTCTTTTAATTTATTTTGTAATACTTTGCTTTTTTGTGTCAATCTGAAGAAATGAAACTTGCAATTTTCCGGTAACACTATAAAATGCATGGTTATATGTCTTTGTAATCAGTGAGCATCTGTGTCATATTAAATGTCCTTAATAAAGTTTTCGAATAGCAAAATCTTGGAAGAGGAGCACAGGTACGATAATTAACTATTAATATAGATGGCTGAGCAAGATATCTGATTCGAGAATTACTAGTTTTATATCTCTTAGCACCTACTTGTCATTACAAACTTTTTATGAAGAAAATAATTTTTTGCTTCTACTATTTCACCTTCACAATAATTTTTGCTACAATGTGTGGGTCATCTGTTTTAAACTTTCAACACCCATTTCTTTATCAATTTAGTATATTAGACATGATAATTGCTCATACTGTTTCTAATCTCGGGATATATTTTCCTGCTTTTCATTGATGCATTAGGAAAAAAATAAAACTTACCAGCCCCACCTCCGAAGAGACTATTGTAACTGCTGACCAAGAGGAAAACGTTCATTCTGATCTGCAGAAAAGTCCAACACTAGATAAGACACATATACTATCCAACAGAAATGAAAAACACGAGAAATTGGTTTCCTCACAAAATGCTGTTCAGAAGAGAAATTGCCATGTCACGACAAAAGAGAGGTACAGCTAAATTGCTTTCTGATTGTGTCATTTCTTTAATTTATGGTTCTACATATTATTGATCTAGAGGATGGGAACACACTACTTGTTTACACTTGAAATGGATTAGTAGCATAAGAGAATAGCCCTGAAGAATAGTGATTTATATTCTTTAGGTTTTAAGGGAATAAGAAGTTTTTGTTACTCATTCCCTAGAGAAAGTAATTGTTTGTTTTAACAGTATGATTGTTCTTTATAATGAAAGAGAACTCAATTTTGGTTCTGATGACACATTAGACCATCTCTTAATTGGTATGATGTTGCACAACATGATGAAGATGCTTTGTAGAGGATATTGCCAGTGATCAGAGCCAAAGCTTTGCTGTAGTATATAGATGGATGTTGCCACAGCTGGCCTCAGATTTTAGAGGGACAGATGGTATTATCATTCATTGAATTTGTTTCTGAATGTTCCTTTTGCAAGCATCAATATTATCCCTATGATGCAGACACAATCAAGAATATTTCCTGCAAGCATAGTGGGGTCTTCTAGTAAGAGCAAACCGGCAAAATTCTTTACAAAATTCTAAACAGCATATTAGATAATTTATCACTGTAGTGGAACTGAACATTGATCCAGTGAGTATGAGTATAAGTATCAGGGTATTATTTGCTTCTAAACTGTAGAAAAGTAAATCTAGTTCAATCTTTTTTCAAGTCTGTAAATAATTACATTTTCTTTGTATAACATCATATTTCCTTTTTGTATGACTATCAATGTTGTCGTGGGCTTGACTTAGGTTTTGGCATCTTTTGAATTCTAGGCTAAGCTATAACATGAATGCATAGATGGGGCCTCCAAAGCTAACTAGAAAGTTATCGGTCAATTTTTCCTTAAGTAGGCACTTGTTATAAATAATTATTAGTAAATAGTAATAGGATTTGGGATAAAATATCACAATAATTATCATTTTGAGTTATACAACAAGCATCAAATAATTATTTTATTAACAACTTGCAAGTATAAAGTTGTTTTTATGTTTGTGCAACAAACAAACAAGAAAAATGAATATGTTGATTTGTTAAATTTTCTTTATTTGTTTTCTTTTTCATCCATAGTGTATACCTTTATATCTTGATTATGATCAGTTTTTTATTTTTCTTCCATTTTTATGTTATTATTTTGGGTGCTATTTTTTTGTCAAGGGTCCTGCATTGAAAAGAGACATTATAGTGAAAAATCAAAGAAGGCTTATGATTGCCATTGTAATGTCCAATATAAAATAGTGGATGTCAAAAGCTCCCATTCTTTATTTGAACTCCATTGAAAAGTTAATGCAAGAAACTGAATATGATATATGTTCTTGGAAGTTAGGAATTATCAAAATGTTTGTACTTCAATTTTTATTCTTATACACATTCATATTATTTTCATGGCATTTTCTACTAGATGTCCATTTTTGTGGTGGACCTTTAACATCTTTCGACGGGTTGTAATGGGGGAGAGGTTCCCGTTTAATCACATATTTTGACAATTTTGTGTTAAATGATTGTTAACCATCTTTGCTTATATTACTATCTGAATGGTGGAACTTGCATTCAGTGATTAGGTTACATTACATGAGATCTTGGCCACTCATTGAAAAAGCCCTCCATGCTATCTATATAAACACATGATTTGGTTGTTTTTAGGGATTGTGTTAAGCTCTTGACACCATTATACACTACATGCATGGTTATTAATATAATTGAAAACATAACAAAAGGTATTTTCTCTTTTACTACTTGCTAGAAAAGGATGACCTTGCCTGTGATACTCCCTCATTGTCGGATTTGGGGTGGGTCAATGTACATAGCCTTAGTTGTGAAGTAAGGTTACTTGTTACTAGTAAAAAATTAAGCTATATATCCAAGCTCATGCAAGGAATCATATATATTTATGTTAGATATTTTCTTTCTTATTTGTTAAGTATGTGGAAAACTCTTTAACATGCACTTCGTTTTGTAGGCATGATCAGGTTGAAAACTGTCATAGAATTCCATCTCAACAACAGCTTACTGATAGCATGAATAAGGTAAGCACCTCTTGTTTCAAGTATCTTTTATATTGATTATATAGTCGGTGCTTGTCAAGTTTCATTAGACATCCGCTAGGCAGTAGCTTTGTGAGACTAAAAGGAAATATCTGATATGGTGCTGTATGAATTTTAATGTCAAGGATAATTTTGTTTGTTTTTGCATGCCAATAAGCATTTGAAATTGTAAAGAGGTGAAAGAATGAGGAAATCATGTATAAATGTGTTGCAAGTAGCAAAAACTGAACAGTAAATCAGGACTAGGATCCCCACTAAAGCTGCATCATCGTCTTGGATCTCTGGAGGAATTTGTTCACAATGTGCATAATGCTGTCTGCTAAATTCAAGTAGATGGGTTGAAGTCTCAGTATGATGGTCCTATGCTAGTAAATGACTGCACTATATAACGGAGGAAATAGAATATCCTCAACATATTATGAGCTTTCTGGCTTCAGTGCTGGTGTTGTCTACATGGTCTGGTATGACCGTACGCCTCAGAAAAGCCAGTACAGTCCATTCTTACAAATGATGACTCTGATTAAGAGTCAGTAGGATTGAGGCTGACAAAGAGTTCAACTGCGCCTTTAGATGACTTTGATCAGTGGATTAAATTTTGAACCCTTAACCTGCTGTAAGTTGGATGATTGTTTGGCATATGTGGTTCATGCTTTAGGTCCAATTCTGATGAGACATTATGATTGTTGATTGTATCTTTGACTACTACCATGTACTTGTTTGATGCTAACTGAAGATCACCTTAAAGATGTGTGATTTACTTCCCTAGGGTATTTAGTGATGTTCATGTGTTTACTTCCTGTTTGGAATCTGAATCTACTTTGGAGGATGGTGAACTGAATGAATAATTGATTTGCTTTGTGCCAAAAATTAGGTTATGTACATCTGACACTTAAAATGTACAATTAAGTGTTCTATTCATATGACATCAACTTTCCTGGTTGGAATACGAGAGTGGAACTTTTGATTTTATAGCTCAGAGTAATTTTGTTTCCATGATTGTTATAGTTTGTCATCAGCTTTCCATTATTTTTTCAGATACTTTACAAGTTCTGTTGATTTGTTCCAAATAAGTTATGTTTGAATATTTATTGATCAGTCTCCCAGCAGAAGTGCTCGTCGAAAAAAGGCGAAACGACAATGGTTGCGGGAAATGGCTAATCAGCAACTAAGTGAGGTATTTGTTCAATAAAATGTTTCTCGTCTTATATTGTTTTGAGGTCTGGTTGAGTTCACTAGATGAAATTTTTTTTACTAATACCATGTTCTATCATGGTTATCTTAGTTATTTATGTTGAATTGTGCAGAATAAACAGGGTGAAAAGCAGGCAAATGATGTGCAGGGTACATTATCTAAATATAAAATAGTAGATCAGACTATTGAAATAGAGGAAGAAATTGTTCCTGTCATTGTTCGACCTGGTCATATCCGATTTGAGCCTATAGGTATGGTTCAATCTTGGTCCCTCATGTTTCTTCGCTTTTAAAATGCTTCAAACCTTAGGTCATTGGTACCTAGATCAATCACTATGTAATGAGTTTCGTTATTCAGTTCGGAAAAGTATGTTTACCCAATTTTACACAAATATTTCTGTTGATTCTTCAATTTGAAATTGATCAATATATTAAAAAGGTTGCCTATTTAAATTGTCAACCAGGTAATTTGTTGTTATATAATGTTTCATAGATGAGATTGTGGTGGAAAACAGAATATTTGACTCATCATTACAACTGTAGGCTTTTTGGCTGTCAACATAAATCATGTATTTATTATCTTTTGGTTTTTATACTAATTAATGATTGTAATTTCGATCCGTACCAATGTATTGAGTCTTGCACGATACGATATGTACCGAAGCATACTGATCGTATGTCAGGACGTATCGATGGTACACCCAAAATCATCAAGAAAACCTTCAAAAATATTTGAAAAATAAAAAAAAATTATATTAGGATTTTAAGTTGGAAATAAATATAAATTTAATATAATTTTAGCAAAAATAATATAAATTGACTCAATATCAATCAAATTTTGATTAAATTATCATTTAAACCATGGTTTGCAGTACGGGCGGTACGTACTGGTCCGACAGACTTTCGGTACGCGGACCATATGTTACCGTTCCGATACTGTAGCAGTGTAGCACTGCTACAGTGCTCGGCATGCCTGAATATACCGCTCGGTACACCTGGGTGTACCGAGCGGTAAACCGTACCGTACCGGTACCGAGCCCAGATCGAAACTCCGGTACGGTACGGTATTGCGAATCTTGATTTAAACCACTAATCACAGTATTAAAAAATTTAATTAAAACTTAATTAAACTTATATACCATCACAAACATATGATCCAATCCTTGATATGCATGAAATATAAAGATTTGACCTATTAAGTGTTTAATTTTAAAAAAAAATAATATTAAACACACTAATCATAATATTAAAGACCTTAACTACTCCATAATTAACATTATTGTACCATAAAAAATATATCAAATAATATATTAGACATTAAGTCATACACCATATAGAATAGGTTTAATCATCCCATAAATCAATAAAAATCTAGAAAGAGAATGCATATCTCTTGATTAGAGTGTTTTTCTTTTTAGTCCTTCCAAATTTGATCCAATCCACAAATCGTAGCTTTGTTGAATTTAGGAGAGTAAAAATATGAGAATAGGCGAGAGATGCAAGTGAAAATGAGTTTGAGAGAGTTCAAAAGACTGAGAGAGTGAAATGAGTTAAAAGAGAGGGGAGGAAAGGGTTTAAAAACCCTTTGCTAAGCCTTAAACGGTCAAATTGACCATTTGAAATAGGGCAATCTCAACCCTTGATCAGCAATGGTCAAAATCCGATCGTTACTGACTGGTACAGGTCGGTAATGGTCGGATTTCGATCATTATTGCCCGGCATAGATCTTGTATCGTCCAATACGGGATCAAGTGATCGGTGCTGCCTAGTAGAGGATAGTCTGTGTACTAGTATACTATCGGATTGGTACATATCGCTCGTACCAGGCGATATCCATTGGTACAACAAACCCTAATCCTGATCATGCAAATGTTCATTATGCTACGTGGATTATTGCACTTATGTCATGACCTTTTCAAGTAGTGTTTTTGTCCTTCATTGTTTCTTCTGAAGGGGGTTTTCTTTTTTCAGTGATTTACTTGTCCTATATTATTTATCTGTGAGCAACTTGATTGATTATCCAGCATCATGGATAGTAACATATATGTCCTTGTAGTATGCACATCTAAGTTGTTAGTGTAGTTATTGTACATATGATCTGTCTCAACTGAGGATCGCCCATATCTAAGTTGTATCTGACCTATCACATGATATACCCGTGTCACTTTCAATTAAATATTTCTCATTCTTCTCCATCAACCAAACACCTCAACTCGAGTTTCCTTCTCCATGTGAGTTCCTTTGCTGATTTTAGTTTACCTATATGTGCCCAACCTGTTCTGGTAACTTTGACCTTGGAGGTTGATTCTTGTCTTCTCAACTAACAGATATAACCGTTAGGCAAATGTAGATGCAGTAGGCCAATTTCTGATTTAGCATTTGTTATAACTTATAACTACAATATATCATACTTCGAGATCATTTGAACATGTTTGAAATACTCTACGTATACAGTGACTCCTTGTTTATGTTACAAGGTTCTCTGGCTTTTGCTGTGTAAATTAAGTTGCATGTGCTTTCAGTTAATGTGGACATTGCATGACATCAAGACTATTTATACTAATTTGTGATTGCATTTTTGTTTGTCTTACAGAAATCAGTTTACTTAGTGTCTCATTTTTTGAGGTTAGCTATTGATGATAGACATGCTTCGAGCTTAAAGATCATTTTTTTTTATATAGATTATGTTGAAATTCATGTTTATTCTTTCACATTCAACATCATTTGAATTGACATTTGTTTGCAGATGGAGACGGAGAACATGACAACACACAGTCAAATGGACCAGTGGTATGTTCCTGTCATGTTAGTTGCACCATGGAGTTATCATTGTGTTCTTACATTCATGTTTAGTTGTAAAAACTCTTTGCAAGTCTTTAATCAGTTAATGGTTGTGGGTTTTTTTCTGCCTTCAACAGTAGGTTGGAAAATAGGGTTGCTGGAAACTTTCAGGCCTTCAGCTGCTTATATATGGCTGTTCATATGACACCTGCAATGATTCCCAACTTAGAGTTTATTTCGTCACCATATGTTCTAATTTGCGAGCCTATTCTCACATCACTAAAAAATAATTTGGCCAATCATATATTCTAAATTGTGAGCCTATTATCACACCACTGAAGCATATTTTTTTAATGTCAACACAAGAAAACTTGTTTTGCTAAAAACATTTTGTTAATAGGATGAGAGGACATTTTAGCCAAGATTTTAAGTTTCAGTTAGAGACCTGTATTTGTTGGCATGAACCCAGCGAGAGAGAGAGAGAGCGTTGGAGTTGGAGTGCATCGGTGTAGAGGGAGGGAGGGAGGGAGGGAGGGAGAAAATTTAATTTTAAAAAACAGCCATCAAAGCTGTGAAAAAAATGATTGCATTAATGCTTGATGGAGAGAACATTAATGGTTCTTGTTGTTGGTGAGATGTCATTTTGGTCTGGAAACAAAAAATGTGTGCAGTTATAGGGAAAAATGACATGGAGCCAAGGGCTTTTTGGGCACTCAGCCATAGAACAGTAGGCCAAAATAACAAGTTCAATCTGAAGACTACTGCAGTTTATTACCTAAAAGAACCTTTGATGTTATAATTTGTTTAAACTTTTTATTTGAGTTTATGAATTTCTAGTTTGCAGTTCTTTTTAATTCACTGTAGTTTCAGCTTCCCCGTAACAATGTCCCGGTAGCAGTTAGTTTGACAGCAGGTTATCAGACTTCTTTCACTTACAATAGCTTATATAAGTATCGAGTAAGTATCTCGTAAGTTAATGTATAAGTAAACTACACCTTTCCCATTTGGTTTGGGGATAAAAGAATTGAGGTACTTTATATTTTTAACTGGTTTGTTGTTTTTATGCATAAGTGATTAAATGGCTGACACATGAATGATGTTTAGGGAATATGCAATATTTGCATGTGATGGCATAATGATGGAGATATAACCAACAATATCTGAGTTAACTAACCTCTTGATGTAGCTTGTTACATTGATCATGAGTATGAACTTAGTTTCTATCTGGGTATGCGTCCTTGGATTGCTGTTGCATATTCAGCTCCTGTTGCAGCTGCTACTGCTGTTTTCTTGATCTACCCTATTGGTCAAGGAAGTTTCTCTGATGGTATGCCTTTAGGAATATCTAGCATTTCAACTTCATGTATTGTATTTCTGGCAGAACACAACATCCTTATGCATCTGGTTCACATGTTAGGTGTAACTGGTGTATTCAGAAAGTCCTTGCAGGCGATGAGTCACTAAATTGAGGTATATAGTGATAGACCTGTTCCTAAAACTTAACGGAACATTTTAGAGCCAGGTGAAGGAACTAGTTGCTAAGTGAGTTTTGAGTGAATGGTGACCAAAATCAAATCTTCCTGCTGCTAAATCTTTGAACAGGCTTGAAACATACTTGTCTAATTTTATTCACATGACATGGTGGTCTTTGGAAAAAGCTTTAGGGCATTAGGTATATGTTGTTTAAGTTTTAGGAATTAGAACTGATAATGGCATATAGTTACTTTTTTGGACAGTTGCCTTGTTAAACTTTGATCTGGCAGTTCATTTTCTTATAAGCATACTTTATTATTCAAGTCGCCTCTAGGAAATAATGCAGAAGATTTTATTGATGACCTGTGCCTTTATGTTGCTTATGTTGTATCCCAATACTCCAGGAAACTCTGCAATGGAATGGAACAACCAGCAAGAAAAAGGGTCAGAAATGGGGTAGGGAGAAGACTTTAAGCAAGAAGAGTGACGATGATTATTGTAATGGAGCCTTTAACGAAAATATGATCACTGAAGAGGGGGAACATGTAGATGACCATATAAACTTTGAAAGCCTTTTTCCTTTAACTCGTCTACCAGAGGTATGTTCCCTGATATTATTATATCAGAAGTGGGTAGACAATAATGATGGTTTTACTCTTCAATTTTTTGTGTTCTTAACTAAAAGTGCTATTTGTGACATCTATTGCTCTTTGGTGATCTGAGGGTTGCCATTCTAAAGGCCAACTGTGCATGATTACAATTTTGATATGCTTTCTTTTGTCACCATGCAGAGGATGGATTAAGGTTTTTTGCATGGCTAGGTAAAATACTATTTGGTTTTGCTTTTTCCCTTTTCAGGAAGGTGATATCCTTGTATATCGATTGGTTGAGTTATCCTCATCATGGTGTCCTGAGCTCTCTTCCTTCCGAGTATGAAGCTTACTCTTTATATTCAATGTCCAATAAAAACATACCATTCCGTAATGATTGTGAATTATACAAGTAGATATTATTGAATGAGCTGGCAATTTGCATGTTCACCTAATGATCTTTTTGTCCATGAATAAATGCACAACTGTTGATTTCTTTATTTGCAGGTAGGAAAAGTTTCATCGTATGATTCCATATCTATGAAAATTGTCTTACTACCTATTCCGGAGTACCCAATATCTTCCCAGGAGAAAAAAGATGCAGAAGAATCTGCACAGGAACCAGACTCCACATTATACAAGGAAGATGGCTCTTTGGAGGTACCCAATTGTATTTACACACACCAAATGTGGTTTGATTAGTTATTATGAATTAATTATGAATATACTTCTCTGCAGTATTTTTAACCACTATTTTTGTTGATGCAGATTGAGTATACCTCACTTGTTGATGTTCGCCTGCTCAAGGGACATGACTCAGATAACCTTCATAATGAGAAGTCAAAGGAAAAAGCACAATCAAACAACTGGGACCTAGCATTGGTTGATGCTAATCCTAGACACTCAGCTGCACCTCTTGTAGGTTTGTACCAAGTTTTGGACAGAATTTTCGTTAATCTTCTATTGGATGCCAAAAGATAGATCAAAATAAGATTATGGATGATGTTGTTTTACAGAATCGAGACCAACCATGGGGTGGGACCAAATTGATCAGGCTTTGAGTGAGAGGAAGGCACAACTTCAGCAGACTGATACCTGGGCTATCAAGGGCTCCACCACTGCTTCATGGTCATACAGGGCATTGAGAGGCAGTGCACTGGGACCTACTCTGGCATTATTAAGAGGGACAAATGGCAGCAGCAATGCTAATTCTCCTGGCAAACATGCCTCTGGCAAGTATCCTAGTTCCAAGTGAATCCCTTGTGTGATGATTTTGCCTGGTGTTGCCACTTCTACAATGAGAGTGCACACCCTCCCATGTGTAGTTACCAATATGTGGCTCATGTCAACTAAAAACTTTGTTTTAGCGGTGATTCTCAGGCTTTGACCTTGCAATTCGTCCTCTACATTGTATCATCTTTTATGGTGGCGGAAGATGAGCCAGTTTCAAGCCACACGATGAAGACTGAAATGGTGGTAATCAAGTTTTGGACTTACTGGGATTAATTGTTTTACCCCTAATTATAGAATATCCCTGTCGTTAAATACTTTAATGTCTAGTTCTTACACTTTAAAAGGTTACAATGGTATCTCTATGGTTATGAAAGTAAAACATATAAATGTATCTCTATGGTTATGAAAGTAAAACATATAAGCCTGTTTATCTAAACAACATCAATTTTATCAATGGAAACATAAAAACAAAGGGCAAAAAGATAATTTTAACGTTCCGTTGTCACGGAATCGAAGTTCGCTATTGAAGCCATCGCGGAGATTCGTCGCCAATCGAAGTAGGACCCGAAGATGCATGTCACCCTCGTCGATGCTAACGTTGTGACCTTCCTTACCACTCGCCTCCTTGACCACCACCACCACCACTCGTCTGCAATCGAGGCCTAGGAGAACACCGTCAATGCTCTCCTTAACCTCTTCATCTTCACCCGTGAGGCATTCATGTGCACCCTTGACACCCTTGCCGCTGCAACCCTTTATAGCCTCATATTTGTTGAAGCATACCGCTCTATCATCGAGGCAAAGAAACCTCACATTGTCACCCTTGTGGACCTTTTCGTCACCCTCAATGCACCGATTAGGTCCATCAAGAACGCACTAAAGGTCCACTTTGACTTGGCCCTCTACCTGCTTGATCACACTGCCCTCATCAAGCTGGGCACCATGCCACCCCTCTTCGCATTGGTGGTGAAGGACAAGTGGAGAGGGATGGTGGAGGACACAACAATAGTGATCACCCAAGTAACAAGATGCAACGCGAGCGTAGAGGCTCCATTGTCGCTTTGCATCCGTCACTAACGTTATTCACCACCATCAACTGAAATGTTAAAATCATTATTTTACCTTTTTATTTTTATATTTTTATTCGTAAAACTGTTGATGTCAGAATAAATGGACCTAGATGTTTCACTTTCGTAACTAAAAAATACCTATGTAACTTTCATCAATTATTTTAATTTAAATTTTATAATTAATATCGGAATATATCTTTTCTTATTATTTTTCTCCCCACTGCCCGTAAGATTGCCCGTGCAAAGTTCGTAAAAATGAAACTAAATAAGGCCATGCTAACCTGACATGGTTGACCGCCCGTGGCAAATAGCATCGCTCCCCCGTCCTCCGTCCGCCGTCTCGAATTCCCCGGTCGTTCTCCTCTCGCACGGTTCCAGACAACGACGGCCGCGGCGGCGGCGTCCTCTCCCCCCCCTCGAGCACTCCTGAACGGTGCCCCAACGGGGAGCCCCGCTCCCCCCCCATCGAAGGGCCCATTCCATGCCGTGCATTTCCCGAGTGATCAGCAGGTTTCGATCCCTTTCGAGGTCCCCTCCCTTCCCCACTCCCCATCATGCCTCCTCTTTGCACAGCTACGGCGAATTGAGCATAAGGTGGGTGAGTTCCTATTTGTTTTTCCGTCACTCCCATAACCCTAATTAGCTCATTGCTTGCACTTTCTTCTCTTCTACTTCTTTTTGCTGGAGACTCTGTTTAACTGTTCGAATTATGTTTCTTGTGTATGTGACCTCTCTAGTTATTGTGGTGAAATCTATCAAATTACGTGAAGACATTGTGAGAATTATAAAGGAAGATGGGGATTTTTTTTGCTTTGCCTTTTGTTGCCTTCTATTGTGGCTTGACAAATGAGTTGAGCATTGCAAAGTTATATGTGTTGAGGTCACTTCAACCAGCATTTCTTGGTTATGGATGGATCCTAAGAAAAGCCATACTGAAAAGTAAGGTGTTTGTTATTGTACTCATAAACGGTGGGTTGGGAAGGATGGGGCTACTGGCATGTTTAAAGTATAATTTTGGCTTTTTAAAAAGTAAATTGATGCTTATCAGTGTATGTTTACTTGCTAGATGTGTTTTATCCCTGTAGTTAGTCATTGTAGAATTGTCATTATGCAGATGAATTGGAGTATGGTTGTTACATGATCTCCATCAATCTCATATCTAGAAGTAGTATCTAGTATCTGGAAATAGTTGTATGTGTCATTAACAGTAGGAGGATGTGTTTTGGTGTATTCACTTATGGGAGTAGTTGATGTTCAGACCAACTAGAGAAGCTCTACATTTGATTAGTTACATCCTAGTTTTTGCATGTCACATCAAAGGCCTACCGAAGATTTTTTTTATATTGACTATCTTGGATGGAGACGAAAAAATTTAGAAGTTCAGAAGAATATCAAGTGACATTGGAAATGAGATTTACAAGCTCTTGTACATACAATGTATCTATGTCCAAAGGCTCTGAGGTGCTAGGTGCTTATGGACTTCAGCATTTGTTTCTGTTTATACTTTTATTCATATTTGTATTTTTTAAGAAGTTGAGACCTGGGAAATGCTCATTGGTATAACTTCATTTTTGTATTCTACAAAAATAAGATTCTGCTCGTATCTTGATCTAAGAAGTAAAAAACCCAAATGGAACTTGTTCTATGTAGAGTATATTAATTTTCATACCTCTTGATTATTCAGGACATGCAATAAACATAACCTAGTTTGATATTTCATTGTAAGATTGACTTGTTAGTGAATTTCATCCTTCTCTACTCTAGGATATAGCTAAAACTCTAAATTTCCTTTTTTTAAGTAGGAGGATTTTCAACCTGGGGTGACATCTGGAATTATACAAAAATAATCCCTTTAATTTTATTTTATAAATTGAAATAGAATTGCATCCTTCATATGATTGACATATGTGTAGTTGAAGAACTCTTAAAGAAAAAAATATTTGAAGTTCTTCCTATTTGAATGTTGGAAGTGGAAGATAATTGAACCTGCAATTCCTACTGTTTAGCTTCATAATACCTACTGGAATAAATGAGTCAAAAGAAAACAGAGACTCTCTAATTTATATGGACGTTGGACGAGTAGTAGAGAAGGAGATCTCTCTGTAGAATTGTTATCTAATCAGGATAGAAATAAGATGAATTTCTGGATTATCATGACTGCACACAGTACTAGTTTTTTTTATGAATCAAATTTGAATATGGTTCATTATTATAGAATATAAGGTTGCAGGCATTCAAATTTTATGTTAATTTTGACTTTATATAGCATGTTGTATTAAATAACATGCTATAAGTGTAGAATCCAATCAGCAGTCATTGAGATAAAAATTAAGAACAATCGCTTAGATCGGCTCTTTTGATGGGAAATATACAAACAACAGACTCTGAGTAAGAGGGGTTATGAAGAAAAAAAGAGAGAGAATATGGATGATTATGGAAATGGTTTTGTATGAACTCACTCGAGTAGTTTGTTATATGTCTCAACGTTTCAAGCAAAGTATTGCCTTCTTAAGTCATAACCTTATCAAAGAAGTATAATGTTCAGTTCATTAATTAGTCAATTATTCTTAAATGAGGTTTAAGATGTTGTATTTTATCCTCATCCTTCTGTTGTGGGACTGTCTGTATCTTTGGCCATGGACTGACATGTGAAACTGTTAATGGTTGTATAATTGGTATAGACTTCAGAAATTCGTTTAGTTACTTCAAACAGATTGTCTTTATTCTTGAAAAGTTTATGCTGTATTAATGGTGATGATTTGTTCCCATGAGAATTAAGGCTAGCTTAATGTGGTCCTTGTAACATTTTTCATGCAAATACTTTTTATTGTTGCCTTATAATATAATGTCAATTTTTAGAAGGTATTTGAAATTGAACCATTATCATCTTCATCAAAATCGCTATCATGGTTTAAAAAACTGAGCGGTAAATATCAGTCCAACAGATAACCAGGCTGCAAATCAGCCTATTTTGGATGGCTTAAGTCTGGTCTAGTGTTTAGTTAAAAACCATTTTAACATATTATGAAGTATCTTAAACCTCTCTTTATCACTATCGTTCGTCGAGACACTTAGGGCACAGAGCACAACATCACCACCAGCCCACCGCCCACCGCCCACCGACCTGTCTGTCGCCTGCACAATGACACATGCCATGTGCTTGTACGTCACTACAAACCTACCAGTCCATCCAATGATTGGTTCAGGTCTGATACTCAAGACTTTGAGCCCTGATCACCACCACCAATTAAGGCTAAGGTCCCTCTACCTTTTGATCTATCAACTGCTTTTGGTAATTTTTTCTTACACTTCCCTTATTTTAAGTTGAATTTTCTTTGTTCTTGACATGTGCATGGCATATTTTTAACTTGGTAAACTAGATGGAGCCAGAGGAGGGCCTTTCTTCATCTGGAGATACCAGTGATGAGATAATAGATGAGCAAGAAATGGAGAGTTCAGCAGAGAACAAGAATGAGAAAGGAATGGAAAATATATTGGAAGATAATGCAATTATGACTGTAGATAAGAATGAGCATGAGGCCGAACATAGATTGGAAGATTATGCAACTATGACTCTAGAAAAGAATGAGCAAGAGGCAGAAAATCAATTCAAAAATGATGCAACTGCAACTTTACATAATAAAGAGCAAGGGATACAAAATAGATTGGAGGATGACACAATTGTACCTCTTAAAAAGAATGAGCAAGAGACATTATTGGAGGACAATGCAGTAATAAACCCCCCTGTGCGTGGGATGACATTCTATTCTTTGGATGCTCTTGTTGAATATTATAATAATTATGCTAAGCAGGAAGGTTTTGGGATCATGAGAAGAGCAATATCATTTTCCGCTGATGGAAAATCAAAGTTTGTTACTATTGCTTGCTCTCGAGTAGGGAAATCATACTCTTCTAAACGTAATATCCTTAATCCTAACCCTTTGAAAAAAACTGGATGCAAGGCTAGAGTTAATGCTACAGTGTTTGAAAGTGGGAGTTGCAGAGTTAATTCTGTTGTTCTGGAACACAATCATGTGCTGTTTCCAAGTAAGTCATGTTTCTTTTTATGCAATAGGAAAATCAATTATGATGTGAAGACTATGCTTGAAATAAATAATGTTGAGGGAGTTGACATCAGTAAGAGCTCTCAGTCTGTCATCGCCCAATCTAAAGGTTCCGAGAATGTCTCAACTTTAGGAAAAGACTGCAGAAATACTGTTGAGAAGGCAAAGAGGTTGCGGCTTGAGGTTGGAGATGCAGAATCAATGTATGATTACTTTGTTCGGATGCAAGCTAAGAATTCGAATTTCTTCTACGTTATGGATATTGATTGCAAATCTCATATTAGAAATGTATTCTGGGCAGATGCAAGGTGTAGGGCAGCATATGAAGAGTTTGGTGATGTTGTTATGTTCGATACATCATACTTGACAAATAAGTACAACATGCCCTTGTCAACTTTTGTAGGGGTAAACCATCATGGCCAGGCAATTTTGTTTGGATGTGGATTGTTATTAGATGAGGAGGTAGAGACATTTATCTGGCTGTTTAAAACTTGGCTATCATGCATGTCTGGATGTGCCCCAATAGCCATCATCACAACTCAGTCAGAAGCAATAAGGAAAGCAGTTGAGATGGTATTCCCTGACACTCGACATAGTTGGTGTTTGTGGCATATACTGAAGACAGTACCAGAGAAGTTGGGGAGTTACGAAATGTGTGAACCCATAACAAATGGCATACAACATGCTGTTTATGATGCTTCAACAAAGAAAGAATTTGAGGACAGCTGGGCTGACATCATTAAAGCGTTTAAGGAGCTTGAAAGTAACGAATGGCTAACTAATTTATATGAAGAAAGGAATTATTGGGTTCCAGCTTTTGGGAAAGATACATTTTGGGCTGGAATGTTGGCCACACAGCACGGTGAAACCATGAATCCATTCTTTGATGGGAATGTGAGCTCCACGACAACCATAAAGCAGTTCCTTGAGCAGTACAATGACATATTCAAGAGTAAGGTTCAGAAGGAAAACCAAGCAGATATTCAGTCTTTCAATTCGCAGATTCCTTGTGTAACTCATTTCCCCATAGAAAAGCAATTTCAACAGGTTTACACCATTGAGAAGTTTAAGGAATTTCAACAAGAGGTGATAGCGAAGCTATATTGTGAAGTATGCTTGGTAAGAGAGATGGATGGTGTGCTTGAATTCAGTGTGTCTGAGATTTTGGCTGTTGGAGAAGAAAATAATCAACATCATAGAACACTTGATTACAAAGTCTATTTTAACAAAGAGGAGAAAGAAATTAATTGTTCTTGTTGCCTGTTTGAGTTTAGAGGAATCTTATGTAGGCATATAGTCTCTGTTCTTATTAAGATCCAGTCAGATATTACTGTTTCTTCCAAGTATGTTTTATCAAGATGGAGGAAGGATTTGAGTAGGCATCACACAAGGGTTAAAGTTTGTCATGATGATTGGAGTAGCAATTTCGAAGGCCAGCGATATCATTATCTTCTTAAGAAATTTGATGATGCAGCAGATTTGGCTGTGGAATCTGATGATGCCTGCAAAATATTGTGGAATTGTATTGATGATTTTCAGCAGAAGTTAAAGGTAAATGATGCAGTAAATGGGAACAATAAACCCAGTCTAACAAGTGGTGCTAAATCTGCTGGCTGTGAAGATACGGGTGAGTCCTTCGGGAGTGTGATTGATAAGAGTAAACTATTTAGCCCTATTCCTATAACCGTTCGATGGCAGGGATGTCCATCAACAAAAAGAAAGGTGTCTACAGTTGAGCAAGCTGCAAAGAAATTAACTTGTACAAGGACTAATGGCCAATGCGGAACAAGTAAAGAGAAGGGGAATAAGGTAACATTTACCAAGTTAAACCACAGAAAATCTGTGTTACGATCATGAATTACTTAAATTATTTTCTTGATTTAGTTTCAGGCCTCAGAAATGAAGCAAGTTGCTGATGATGAAGGAGATGGAATTGATATGCTGAGATCCCACGTAGTAGTTGATATTGACTCACAAGAAAGCATTAATATTCAGGTATTCTTGTGATCAAGATTTATGTCTGACATTTGTCATGTTAAAAATATCAGATTATTTTCATTTATTTGTGTCACATTAGGCAAATTCACAAGTTGGCCCCATCTTTGATCAATATTATGGTCAGGCTACTGCAACTAAACAAGGTAACAGAGTCTTTTTTAAACACAGTCATTCATTTTGAAAACCATCTTTTTGAATCCTGCTTATTTGGAATATTTTAAACTAGTACCCTTAATGTGACAATTAAGCCGACATTTTATATTGATGTGTTGCATCATTACTAGAAATAAAGAAGCCAAGGCTGGACTCATCATAGAACCATTCATGGATCATCCAAGGAATATGAAGAACACAGGATAATCTGAAGAACCAATCATAAACCAGAGGTATTTGGATTTCTATAATCTGTGGCGGTTTGGACAATGGATGCATCTTCCTGGGTGGACTGAGAATATAGTGCTTCAGGCATAGCTAGTTTTAACTGCTGTGATCTTTTTGTTTTGTGAACACTTAATTTTGTTGTGTATGTAATCTAATATAGATTACAGCAGTGAGGTGGTTCCCTTGTAATCTGGGAGATCAGCATTCAAGAAATGAAAATAGTTTTTTAAAAATATTCCAAGATAAAATTGTATACATTGATCCTTCCTAGATCTTACATCGGCAGGAGCCTCACAATTATATTTTTTGTAATCTAATGTAGATTGTATAAAATCTCAGGCAGTTTCATTCTTCTTCTTCAAAAGGTTACCTGGTAATTTGATTCTGTTGTGCTAAGTGTTTTTTTTTTTGGATAGTGTGCGTCAATGCATTTATCGAGAGTTTTTCTGTATTATACTTTGATTTGATTTGATTGACAGACCTGTGTTGGTATTGTATAAAATCTCGTGGAGTGGATCAAAAACACTTTACCTTTTCATTATTGGGACTCTCATCGTATCTCCTTCAAATATCAGCCCATCTATCATAGTTGGATCCACAAGGAATCATTCGTTGACTCTGCCAATTAGATCTGTAGGATATAATGATGGTACAGTTCATCAAATTAGGATTAAATTCCAAATATCCCTCCCCCCTCCTCGCCTAGGTCTCATGCGCTCTTGCGATGTCAGCACAACACTAAGTTAAAGAACCTCGACACCACCCTACTAGGTTAACTGAGGTAAAAGTAGAGCGATGGCCAATATTATGCTTATTGGCATATGTACTTACTAAGTGAGATTTGAGATTTAAGAATATTTATGCGAGAATGAGCGAGTGGCTCAGGGGCATCCTTGGGGGTGAGAGACTCGGGTTGTTGAATAGATGACAATATCGTATCGACATTTGCATCAAGGTGGATGTGCCCATGTGTGGAAAGGATGACTGCTGTCCTCCTCGAGTGAAAGTACTATACGTCAGGAGCAAAACCTCTTCGCTCAAGTATTCATTGAGAGGGTTGATGGGTGATCGTTCCTACGATATCATACCCTTCTAGCACTAAAAATGTTGAGGGAAGAAGTCATTAATATTCTGGTCAGCCCAATGTGATCCTGATATATATATATATATATATATATATATATATATATATATATATAT